AAGGATACTTCCTTGGCAGGACGGGTCCTTCCAAGTCATTTCCTTCAGAGGCTAGGCAAGGGTCCTCTTTAGCGTTCGGAGAACATGTAAATGGAACAGGCTAGCAAGTGTAGGTCATTGCGTCATTACATCAGTGAAAGGTCCGCTTCGGCGCTGCAAAAATCATTGTGCTGGTGTACTGCACTGTTTAAATACACTTGACAGTCCTTATTTTGTCTTGTCAGTCCTCAAAGAAATAAATAAATAAAGGGATAATGTATAACCAGGCGGTTGTTATAGTGAATACAACACCGCAAACTCTAAAGCAGAGGGGTCTTGATCAGCCGGTTGTATTCGCTGTAACAACCGCCTCGCTATACATTTTCCCACTTATAACATGGCTACCTACCAAATAAATCAATAATTTGACACAAAATATTGATTTAAAAAGGAGTTTATTCATTCAAAAACGATTATATTACCGGAGTTAACAGAACTACCTCCATAGCAACATGATCTAACGTTAGCTGTTAAAACACATGCAATTGTAAAATATGTGACCAACAAAAAAGGCTATGAAGTAAAAATTAAAAAGTTAATCACCAGTAAAAGGGAACAGCTTTAAATCCCCTCAGCAAATTTGAGCCGATATGTTAAATAGTTTAACAAACATTAAATAAATGGCTAAACTGAAATTATACTTGCTTACATTTGAAAGCATATTGCCGTTATCACTCCGACTCCGCTAAAGGTCGACATTTTTTTATTTTTTGAACAAGATAGCAAAGCTGCGCATAGGATTGTGGGTGATTTAAGGGCGCGAAGGCTACATATGCATCCTTTCCTGTGTATGGGATATTTTCCGAACGAAGGACTCAGTCCTTGGTTGAAATTCTGAGGATCCTCGACATTGGAACAGTCCTTCGACGGACGTCGATGACGTAGCATCCTCAAAATTCCGGCTTCCGAGTATCCTTCCTTGACATTGAGAAACGCCTATGGTCCACAGCAGCCGCATGGTGTGACGGAGATTAGAGTCCGGGCAGGAGCAGAGTATTTATGTTATTGGTTCCGCCTGGCTATACCATTCGATGGGAATTGCCCGGGGAGGAAGAAACATCAATGTATTGTTAATTGATTACTTTAATTGTACATTTATGTTATTGACTATTTTGCTTTGCTTTGATTATCTTTATTTACTATACATCTTTGTTTGGTTTGATTTTGATTTGCTTAAGGTTGTACTGTATGTTAAATGTGTAGTTAAATTGTTTCCTCTCTTAATTTGTAATGGACCCATCCTTTCCTTTAAAAGCTGTTGCTTTATTCATTTGAGCAGGTCAGTTTTAGTTTTGTTTGGCTGGTTTTTGCCTAACTGTTTTGATCTCATTTTCTGTTCATTTGTTTTATATTTGTTGCAAATTTATGAGTTTGTAAAGTTGATTCCTTTTGGGTTCAAATAAAGACCCATTTTCAGTTAAAGCTTGTGTTCCTTGTTCCTGACTTCTCGGTCCTTCACAATCTGCTTTACACGAAGCACACCATCGATCAAAAAGGACCCCCTTTTCACGAGCAAAATCTATAAAGGTTTGAGGTTAGGGGGTCATTGCGACGCCGCGCGTGCTGTTACAATCCACAAGTTTCCTACGCCCCATGAGGCCTTGCGTCAGTCAATCACATGCTGATAGAGTTTATAGAATATTAAGAATTTAAACAAATGTACACAGGAAGATTCATCGTCTTTTGGGAGGTGATGGAAACTACAGTCGTTGGCAGGATCAGAGACAGGGTCTGGCAGGATCACTCTGATTTCGTTTTCAGCTTATGTTCAAAACAATCACGTTTAAGCCACTGAATTAGTTTAGTCCGGTTATACATACAACCGCGAACAGCACATGTTGTCCCTGAGCTCCGTAACGACATCTCTCATAAAGATTTGCATCTTTAAATAGTAAAATAATTCTCCAAAAAACAGCTAGCCTCTTCGCTAACTAACACACAAAATACCATTGGAATGCTACTTCCGCCGCCTCACCGGATGTTTCACCCACTTTATTTTTTACAGGAGCGCCCCTCGGAAACTTGTGGATAAAGCTGTGCACAGAGCCAAGCACGAGGTCTTGTCGGTCGAGTTGTCAGTCGAGTATAAAGCATAAAGGCTTTACTCCTTGTCAGCGTGCGCTCTGCTCGCGCACAGATGACCTCTCCCAATCAATTCCAGCAGAAGCAGCCTCCGATCGCACCACTCTCCGCCTCGGTTTCCCTTGTAATCTGATATTAGTATTTAAACATTCTCTATGATATTTTTGTTTTTTAAATGACAATGTCTCTTTCTCTCGCATACACACACACATACACTGTCTTTTTTTCTCTCACACATAGGCTTGTAGTTATACACTCTTTAGACTTTTAATGATTAGTGCTTTATTTTATACACTCTTTAGACTTTTAATGATTAGTGCTTTAATTTAAAAGTTTGTGTGTAAGAATCGTGTAAAAAAATCCCTTATTTTGGGGATGGATTACGTGAAATCTCCCTTATTTTCAATGTTGACAGCTATGCACTCGAAACGCACGCTTGCTCAGGCGTATAGGGGCTGTAACGTTACCTCTTGTCTGGAGTCAGTGAGAATTCTTGCTAGTCCTCGGCCTCAGGTTTTGGGGGTTGGATTGAAAAAAAATCCAAAATTCTCTTTAGAGTCATTGCTAACTAGTGATATAGCGCTGATATTGATATAGACTAACTTTACGATTAGCAATCAAGTGTCTTTGACGCGAATCACGCGATTACTAAAAAACAGTAATTGCGTGATTTACGTCAAGAGACCTGATTGGCTAATACACACTGAAGATAAATTAAATAATTTTTAATTAAATAATTACTAAATGAACCCTCTTCATTCCACACCCAAAACATGACATACAAAATGTTGTGGAACAGAAACAACACCCAGATTTATATCTATAAGCTATCATTTTTTGACGTCACTGTTTGCCAACAGGGGGTGCACCCCTACTTCCCGCGTCCATGCTCGTAAGCTCTCCGAATGGCATTTTTAACTCATAATTCATAATCATAATTCAAGCCTTCCTCTACAGACTAGGCTGCGCACGCTTCCTGGGCCTTACCGGTCAATTTACACTGGAGTAAGATGGCCCACAGCTCTTTAGGCCAGCGTAGAGCACCAGCAACACACTCAAATGCACCAAAATAGACCTCCACTTCAGCCTCACGAAACACAGACACCAGAGAAATATATTTACTCACATTATACTCACTGGCAGGCTGGGGAGATATTTTATCAGCAGCGGGAACAGGACGAGCAGCGTCAAAAGTTAACAGTTTGTAACTACAATTGTCTCATTTTAAAAGCTGTATCTGCCTCTAGTTTTTTAAGTTCCAGCTCTCTGTGGAGTTGTAAATCTCTCTCTTTCTCTCCCTTCTCCATCTGAAGCCGCAACACTACGCCACGACTTTTAATTGGCTATCCTGCTTAAGAGCCAGGAGATGACTCGACTGAAAATGGCAAAAACTGAGGTATCGTAATAGGCTTCCTAGTTGGTATTGCCTGCCGGCCAGCAGGAGTTCCTCCTCAAGTAGCCCCTCCCCCTCTTTCAGTTCTGGCCCAGGACTGCCCGTAGTCACCGGTATTATGATAACCCCTTTTTTAACGAGTCCATCTAAAACTAGAGCTTTTAATTCTGATTTTACTAGAGAAGTGGACAAAGAGATGCCGTAATGGTTTGCAATGGCGTGGAGCAGTTTTCTTGCACTTATCCAAATGATTCAAATCTGGATGGGACACAAAAACATTTAAGTCAAACGTGGCCATGACCACAATACAAGATATACACAATATCACCCCGCTGAATAAAATAACCCAATGTTTAACATCAACCCCTCTAACAAACTCACAACTTCCCTCCACAGAACAGACTTCTTCAGCACCTGCCTCACCAAAACTTACCTATCTATCTTCAGAGGCTTGCCGGGCTCGAGGCGACTTACAGGCAGTACATCAGCGGTCGAAAACCTGAAACGCCAGCCCCCTTTGGAGAATGCAGTCTCCGCCCAGGATTCCCCTGGTAAGAAATCAGTGAGACACATCTACAATACAGAAGGAGGAAAGGGAGAAAAAAAAACACAAGGAACAGAAAAATACAATACAGCCCCACACAGTCATCGACAAAGTGATATATGTAGGCACACGAGATCCTTTCTGTGATGCAATTAGGTTGTATCAGAGTGGTTGTAGGTGATATAATAGTGACTTTGACAAACACACACACACACATATATACACATATATATATATATATATATATATTAGTATTAGAGATGGTGGTATCAATGATAGTATTTATAATGAGAATATTCATGACAACAATAATAACATAGGCTCTAGCAATCTTCAACAGTAGTGACAATAGTACTATGACAATAATAATATATTTCATGCTTCTTTATATATAATAATACATAATAATACATTTAATTTCTACACTGTTATCCCTGAAGTTGTTTTAATTCAAACTACTTAGGTACAATAAACATAAACTCCAAAATGTTTGCACACCCAGATAGCAAACTGACATTGAATCAACGTGGAAATATGACATCGAAACAACGTTGATCTGACATTGTTTTGCTCATCGAATTAACGTTGAACCAACGTCAGACGCGTCATTCTTTCAAAACTAACGGAAAATCAACTTGAAATCAACGCGTTGTTTCAACGTTATGAAAGCAAATCAATTTTCGATTTCATTTAGCTTTGAAGAATGCCGCGTCTGACGTTGGTTCAACGTTAATTCGATGAGCAAATCAACGTTGTTTCAATGTCATGAGAGACGTCGTTTCCACGTTGATTCAATGTCAGTTTGCTGTCTGGGCAATTACTCCATGTTTTTAGTTTGTTGTACGATTTGCATGATACTTTTCATTCTATTGAATTGTTTAGATTGAATGTACTTAATTTAGCTTATTTTAGTCTGTTGTCAATACAACGCAATACAAGGAAGATGTTGATTGGCTATTTGAACTGACGTCAAACATGGATGGATCGCGCATTTTCATCTGTTCATCTGGACTTTCATCATGCACGTTTGCTGGTGAGTACATTTTGGTCTGAAACAGCGAACACATTATAACACGTAGATAAATGAGATGTATAAGATTTAGCCAGTAAAACTATATGTAAGTTTAGGCTGTGTTTACATGTTAACGTTCGCCATCGTGTTGTATCGAATCGATCAGTCGCAACCGACACTTTTATAAGTTAGTTCTGATATGACATAATATGATCTTTGGGATTGTCACATTTCTAATGCTTAACCTTTTTATCAATAATTCTCATTAAACAAATGAACGAAAATGTCGTCTGTTGTGTAAAACGATATCTTTTTTCGATGGTGTTTTGCATCTTGGCAGTTTGCCATATTAGAAATGTTCAACATGGCTTATATTAACACAGTCTCATCCCAAATCGTCATATAACTGACGTTTTGGGACGTATTTTGACCATACGTCAATATCCGCCTTTTTAGGGCCCCCTTAAACGTCGGTAGATGGCGATCCCGGGCCGTCATACAACTGACGCTTTACCTTTAACGTCAGTTAGGTGACGGGTTAGGTTTAGGGTTAAGTTTAGGTATGGGGTAGAGTTAGGATCCCATAACCTCATCTACCGACGTTTAAGGGGGCCCTAAAAAGGCGAATATTGACGTATGGTCAAAAGACGTCCCAAAACGTCAGTTATATGACGATTTGGGATGAGACCGGGTTGCTTATATACAGCCCGACTTTATCATTAACCTTTTAGAATGTTTTACATTTCTTTGTGAGTGAAGTAGTAAACAAATAGCTTAAATTGAAATTCGACTACCTGCAAGAAATGCCATGTAGTTATGTAACATTAGTCCAGCCAAAGAAATGCAACCTCGTGCTCATCAGCGTGGTCAGGTTTTAGTACATTTCAGTTAATGAGAGTTTAGTGTACGTCATGACATGCTAAATAAATAAATGGATATAAATGTTGTAGATAGCAGATCAAAAAAAAATTTTTTTTTTTTTCTTATGTATAAAGCAATCTAATGTTTTACTCTGCAGATTCAAGTTCAAAACAAGGCTAATCAAGATGATCTGGAAATGTAAGTATTGCATATTTGCTTGTGACAAAAGGGGATAATTGTTAAAACATTACATACTTAAACATGGGAGCTAAGCAAGAAGTCAGCCTTTTCCATGCCTAATGCCTATATCAAGAATGTTTATGAGAAAAAACCCTAATGCTGTCTTTATTAATCAGAAGATGGACATGACTCCATCCTTGATGAGAAAGGATGTTGTGATCAACAAGCCTCCTGTAAGCCAAATACTTCAACGTTGGCCTGCACTTTTTAGAGAAAGTCAGGTAAAGCGAAATGCCTATGTTTGCAACATGAAATGAGTATTGATAAACATGATGGTTAGATATTAATTTGAAATGTGTTCATTTTTGACAGTTCTCGTAACAACTGCTTTTTCCTTTACTATTTCAGGTGTATCAAGAATTCAACTGGGTGGTTGGGAAGAACCTTAAGCAAGAATTTTATGGGTCTCTTGATCGTCACTGTCCTCAACTGATTCAGATCTTCAGGTCAAAGAGAGGTCTCGCCGGGCAGATTTTGAGCAATCTGCTGCAACAAGAAAAGGTTTGTACATTTAAGTTGATGCCATTGTTTGCTTAATTTTAAAATGCAGTCTGATATTATTTTTAAAAGGGTTTTTTTTTTACCCAAAAATGAAAATTTTGTCATTAATTACTCACCCTCATGCTGTCCCACACCTGTAAGACCTTCGTTATCTTCAGATCACAAATTAAGATATTTTTAGATATCGTTTCATAGACCTCCACTTTCAAGGTCCAGAAAGATAGGAAAGAAATTGTTAAAATAGTCATATCAACTATAGTAGTTCAACCTTAAAGGATTAGTTGGCTTCTGAATGAAATTTTCCTGATAATTTACTCACCCCCATGTCATCCAAGATATTCACGTCTTTCTTTCTTCAGTCGAGAAGAAATTAAGGTTTTTGATGAAAACATTCTAGGATTATTCTCCTTATTGTGGCTTTTAATTGGCCCCAAACGGCTGAAGGTCAAAATTACAGTTTCAGTGCAGCTTCAAAGGGCTGTAAACGATATCAGATGAGGAATAATGGTCTTATCTAGCAAAACTATTGGTCATTTTCTTAAAGAACAACTGTATACTTTATAAACACAAATGATCACTTTCCAAGTGCTTCAGTTTTCCGTATTCTTCAAAAAGCTTACGCTATATGTCCTACACACACAAAAAAAAAAAAAAAAAAAAAAAAAACGGAACTGGCGCCACATTCGTTTCATAAGTTGAATAGGGAAGGCATAGGACACACAGCGTAAGCTTTTTGAAGTATAAGGAAGACAGAAACACTTGCACGGCGATTTGTGTTTGTATTTTTTTTTAGAAAATTACCAATCGTTTCTCTATATAAGACCCTTATTCTTCGCCTGGTGTCGTTAAAAGCCCTTTGAAGTTGCACTGAAACTGTAATTCTGACCTTCAACCATTTGGAAGCCATTGAAGTCCACTATTAGGAGAAAAATCCTGGAATGTTTTCATCAAAAACCTTAATTTCTTTTCGACTGAAGAAAGAAAGACATGAACATCTTGGATGACATGGGGGTGAGTGAATTATCAGGACATTTTTATTTGAAAATGGATTAATCCTATAATATTATGAAGTGAAGAGAATACTTTTTGTGCAAAAAAAAAAAAAATCCTCTCTTCTGTGTCATTCTCTTATAAAATGTTTACATCCAGCTCTTCCAGGTTCTACATCAATAATGAGTCGACATTCTGAGGTAGAACCTGGAAGCTCTGAATGTAATGACACAGAAGAGAGGATTTTGTTGAATAAAGTCGTTATTTTAGTTTTTGTGCACAAAGTATTCTTGTCACTTCAAGCATTAATGTTAAACCACTGCAGGCCCTTCAACTGTTTTAACAATGTCTTTACCTTTCTGGACCTTGAAAGTGCTGGTTAAATTGCTGTTTATGGACAAGTCAGATACCATCAAAAAAAAAATCAGATTTCATCAAAAATATCTTAATTTGTGTTCTGAAGATAAACCTTACTGTGCATTTATGTTAGTAAGAACAATAAAAAACACCAAAAACAATTATATTGTTAACAGTTATATTTGACATAAATGTTGTGTGAATGAAATGAATGTCAGTGAGGAGGAAGTTTTAATTTTAAATCATTCAGGAGAAATGTAATGTCATGACACCTTTGAAACACTAAAATACAATTAAGGTTAATCTCATAATGTTTTACTTTAATCAGTAATTCATGTCATTTGCAAAGACTTGTATACAAAAGAAAAACAAACTTAATGTTTAAATATAACTGAATTCCTGGATACACCTGTGTACATAATTTACAAAAAAAAATATGCTTGCGTTCAACTAAACAAAAAAATGTCCAATAAAATTTATAACTAGAAAAAAAAACTGTACACTGCTAAAATGTATTTTAGTAATCTCCAATCTCTTGTCCAGGCTTTTGATGATGGAGACTCGTACCAACATGTGCCAAAATGAAGATGTGGTTCTGCAACCCCTGTCCATCCATCTCTCCCCTCCATGATGATTCCTCATCATTTGATGAGGATGGGTGATGTAATTGACAATTTAGACAACATACCTCAGGCCATGTTTTGAATTTATGAAATCAAATAAATTGTAAGTTCCAAAACATTATTGTTATCCTTTGTCCTTATTTGTAATGCAGGTGTATCTTTATTAAATCATTTACAGTAAATAGCTATATTTAAATTAAAGTTTAAATATACAACACTCACAACATTCATCCATATTGTAGGTTTCACATATATTGTCTGTGCATAACTGTAAGCCCTTTTACAGGTTGATTGAACTTAAAAAATTTATGGAAACTCGTTGCCCTAAAAAAGTTAATTTTGTATTGTTGAAAAAACAACATATTTTAAGTTGAAAGTACCTAAAGTTTCAATTGCACCGCATTAAAAACTTTTAGTTCAATGAACTAAAAATTTTCAATTAAATGCATTTGAAATCTTAAGTACATTAAACTTAAAATATGTTGTTTTTTCAACAATACAAAATTAACTTTTTTAGGGCAACGAGTTTCCATAAATTTTTTAAGTTCAATCAACCTGTAAGGGCTTACAGTGTACATTAAATTAAATAATAATACATTTAATTACATCTGCTCTAAACTCTAGGTCAGAGGGCTGATCCAAAACTGCCAGTGACCAACAGACATAGTAAACAGACCAACAGACAACAGAAATAGTATACTTTAATTGAGAGAGAGCTTGCCAGGAGATCGATAAACAACACAAATATTCTCACTAAAAACTTAGCGCTTCTTGTAGAAGGAACACATTCAAATAGTCTCTGCTTGTCTTTGCCTGAGTATTGCATTACTGTGTGTGTGCGCGCTCTATGTGCCGTTCAACATTGTTATCTTCTGTCTTGTCTCAGTCCTGTCGTATCGGAGAGCTGATTAACGTAAAGAATTTTTGTCTGAGCTGGAGAATCGCTGCTTGCCACTAGTCTCCCTTGAGCGTCTTCAGCCCGTGCCTCTACTCACCTGACGGAGTACTCCTCCATAATTACTGTTTACTGGGCTGTCAGCTGTTTAAGTTGTTTCTTCAAGCAGAGACTTTATTTGAATTTGTTCCTTCTACAAGAAGCACTAAGTTCTTAGTGAGAATATTTGTGTTGTTTATCGATCTCCTGACAAGTTCTCTCTCTGACTCTCTTACCTCCATGACAGTAAGCTTAACATCACTTTGAGAAAAACAAACCTGAGAAAATTAATTCTTACTTTCTCTGGTTTGGTTTTCTCAAAGTGAACAATTTACAAAAACATTTCAAATCTCTCACCTCCTTTTCCCAGCGCCACACCCAATAGAACAAGGCTGCCTCTAACCTTTTCCCTTACACCAGTGGCCTACTGTCACATTCCTGTCCTGTCTTGTGTTGCACAAGGGTTTTTTGTTATTTTGGGCCAAATGCTCTTGTCACTGTCTTATCCCTCCCCCTCGTTACCTGATTATGGTTTGAGTTCTCCCACCTGTCCCCTCTTGATTGGTTCCCTTTTTAAGTTATAAGTCTCTTCTTGTTTGTAGTCTTTGTTGGATCCTTGTCATTGTCTCCTATTTCCCTGTGCTCGACGTCATGTTCAGGTTCAGTTATTGTTCATCGAGTTCAGTTATTGTTTCATGTTTTATTTATTGGGTTTTCCGCCTTCATGGGTTTTTTGCTTTGTGTTTGTTTTCTTTTAGTAAAAAATATATCTTGCTATACACTTGAGTCTTCACTCCCCTTTTTCATAACCGTGCTGTGACAGAACGATCCGACCTAATGAGGACTCAGTAGAGAAGAGGGGCCAAGCCAGAGACTGTTCACGTCATGTCTGTCCAGCCAGAGACGGTTCACGTGACAGAACGAATCTGTCACACTAAACTGAGTGAAATGGCTTTTAACATCTCTTCCCCAGCCACCAAGCAGGAAAGAATAGAGTTTTTCAGTGGGGCCCGATTGGTCAAATTTCACGGAACCTGTGGAGGACGCAGTGGAGGAGGTGGTAGAGAGATGGTTCACATCCCGTCTGCGCAGCAAGAGACTGTTCACGTCACGTCTGCCCAGCAAGAGACTGTTCACGTCACGTCTGCCCAGTCAGAGACTGCTCACATCCCGTCGGCCCAGTCAGAGACTGTTCACGTCCCATCTGCCCAGTCAGCGACTGTTCACGTCCCGTCTGCCCAGCCAGAGATTGTTCACGTCATGTCTGCCCGGTCCGAGACTGTACCAGTGCCGGCGCAATGCCCCCCCAAATGTATTTTATGCCCCCCCACATTGAATTATGATATAATTTACAAAATAATATCAGTTTAATTTAATTCACATTTCAGTGAGAAATAGTACAAATATATGTCTACAAACGGCTCATTAGCTGAAAATACAATAAAGCCAACATAAAAACCACAGTGTGACGCTGTGAGGAAACCCCCCTGCCGCCCCCCCAATCACGCACGTTAATACTTGAATGAAATGATTTTCAGTTGGCGCGACCTTCCTGCATTCAAAACAAAGCAAACAGATGAAAACTCTCCAAAATGGACATTAGGAAATGGTTCAATACCACAGTTTCTCCTTACACATCGATTACACCATACAGCAAGACAACGACAGCCCGGCTTTGGTATTTGGTGCTTCTACCGTGCAGTGTTGTAGTCGAGACCGAGACCAAAGACAGTCGAGTCCGAGTCGTTAGTGTATTTATCTAACTGGCATGTACTGTAAATGTTTACTATGTGTTGTCACGTGATGAAACTAATGGTTTAGTTGGCCTATTTTTTGCGCTGCCCATTGTCCTGAAATGTCACTCACTCCCGCCGTGGAGAAACAAGTGTTTATAATATAAATAATTATATAATTCGTTACATTTATATAGCGCTTTTCTGGACACTCAAAGCGCTTCACATAGAAGGGGGGGGATCTCCTCAACCACCACCAATGAGCAGCATCCACCTGGATGATGCGACGGCAGCCATATTGCGCCAGAACGCTCACCACACACCAGCTTACTGGTGGAGAGGAGACAGTGATGAAGCCAATTGGTGTATATGGGGATGATTAGGAGGCCATGATGGACAGAGGCTACTGGGCAAATTTGGCCAGGATGCCGGGGTTACACCCCTACTCTTTCGAAAGATTTTTTATGACCACAGAGAGTCGGGACCTCGGTTTAACGTCTCATCCGAAGGACGTGCTCTTTTCCCCATCACTTTACTGGGGCGTTAGGACCCACACAGACCACAGGGTGAGCACCCCCTGCTGGCCTCACTAACACCTCTACCAGCAGCAACCTGGCTTTCTCAGAAGGTCTCCCATCCAGGTACTAACCAGGCTCAGCCCTGCTTAGCTTTAATGGGCAACCAGTCTTGGGCTACAGGGTGATATGGCTGCTGGCTGATGGCTTTAAGCCTATATTTTCTTGTAAATGGAAATTGTAGAATAATATCTGTATGTTGTGGGTGTTTTTTATTTGTTATAGGTGTTAAAGGTTTTATTTGATAAAGGTAAATACATGATGCTATTTTAATAGTAGGCTGCGAATGTAAATGCTTATGTTAGAACAAAGCAGAATAAAGATGAGTAACTTAGTTTTTTTTTCTCACTTCCGCCATTGAGATAGCATATAAACGACTATTCTGTCAGTGAGAGACTATGTGCATGTTTCGTTAGCTTTGCTATTATAAAGCTGTGGTCAGATTCGGTCTTGCAATTTTTTTTTTGTATAGGCCTATTTAACCCTTAATCAAATTTCTTAAGAGTCGCTCGTCTTGCAACAATGTGTAATGTTTTATGTGTTTATTGTGTGGGTTGCATTACTTCATGGTAATAGCTAACAGAAAAGGCAGTAGCAATAATAAATATAGGATATCTGATATCCGAAAAAAAAAGTCCCCATACCTACCTAGTGCCCACCCATTGAAAATAAATGCCCCCCTGCTAAAAGCGGTCTGAAGCCGGCTCTGGACTGTACATGTTCCGTCTTTCCAGTATGGGACAGATTAAGAGATGCCCATTCACATGGCCGCCAAGGCTGTGCTGGACTATCTGGAGCGTCTGGCTCGGATCCTGGACATGCCGGTGGCTGCTGTTCCGGAGCCGGAGACAGAACCAGTGTCTGCTGTTCCAGAGCCGGAGGCAGAGCTAGTGTCTGCTGTTCGGGAGCCGAAGGCAGAGCCAGTGTCTGCTGCCCAGCGAGAGACTATTCACATCATGTCTGCCCAGTCAGAGACTGTTCAAGTTTCCTCCTTTCCAGTCTGGGACAGAGCAAGAGATGCCTATTCGCGAGACTGTTCACGTCCCATCTGCCCAGCCAGAGATTGAGTCGGAGACAGAACCAGTGTCTGCTGTTCCAGAGAAGGAGACAGAACCAGTGTCTGCTGTTCGGGAGAGACTGTTCACGTCACGTCGGCCCAGTCAGAGACTGTTCACGTCACGTCAGCCCAGTCAGAGACTGTTCACGTCCCGTCGGCCCAGTCAGAGATTGTTCACATCCCGTCGGCCCAGTCAGAGACTGTTCACGTCCCATTGGCCCAGTCAGAGATTGTTCACGTCCCGTCGGCCCAGTCAGAGATTGTTCACATCCCATTCACATCACATCCATTTCTTTTTGTAAATACATATATCTTGCTCTGCACTTGAGTCCTCACTCCCCTTTTTCATAACCATGCCGTGACAGAACGATCCGAGCTAATGAGGACTCAGCAGAGAAGATGGGCCACGCCAGAGAATGTTCACATCATGTCTGTCACACCTGATGGAGCGTCTGGTAGTCGCATGCCTGGAACGTCACATGCCTGTCCTGTCTTGTGTTTCACATGGGTGTTTTGTTATTTTGGGCCATGTGCTCTTGTCATTGTCTGATTCCTCCTCCTCGTTACCTGATTATTGTTTGAGTTCTCCCACCTGTCCCCTCTTGATTGGTTCCCTTTTTAAGTCTCCTCTTGTTTGCAGTCTTTGTTGGATCCTTGTCATTGTCTCCCATTTCCCTGTGCTCGTCTTCATGTTCAGGTTCAGTTATTGTTCATTAAGTTCAGTTTTTGTTTCATGTTTTATTAATTGTGTTTTCCCCTCGTGGGTTTTTTGCTTTGTGTTTGTTTTCTATTTGTAAATAAATATATTTGAAATGTATCTGCTCACTTATGTGAGTTTGTTATAAACAGACACTTCTATAAACTCATTTGAAGTTTATTTACATGTGTGTTTTAATAAAAAAATAATAAGTAATTAATTAAAAAACATGTTGTACTTGATGGACTCAGGCTGCAGAAGACCTTCTATAATGCCCACGTCGAGAAAAGAGACAATCCCACCTCTGTAAAACACACAGAGATGTTAGTCTGAATTGGTACATGATATCACATTGAGGTGAAAAGGATCGTAACTCAAAGCTTGTTTAGAAAACTAGTCCTGTTTGCATAGGGCTCAAGTCGACTGGTTCTTGAGAAGTCTGACTCCATGCATGTACAAGAACAAGTATTTTTTTAAGAACAATGACTCACCCACACACCTTTTGTAAACATAATCTGAAACAGGTTTTTTGAAAAATGAAACATAATTTGAATGTGAATGATGAGCCTGACTTCAAGAGATCATTTACTGTATCATGGGTGCATTTCATATACAAATATCATGCTGTCTTAAAAGGCTTTTCTTTTAAATGCAAATTGGACCTCTAAGAGATTAAATTCCAGTCTTTGTTTTAATTTCTTTAAAACAAAACGCTATACTGTAGAAAATACTTAGCCTAAGAAATTATACCATAAACCCATGTACTATAACATGCTTTTTAAAAGAATTTATAATTCATAGATAATAATAACCATGAAACTCACAATATCCAAACATTTTAGTGGCCACAGAACATTTGTAGTTTTAAAATGTCAGCCTAAAAGGTATCAAAATGATTTTGGAAAGAAATGCAATAGGCTAACCAGCATACATGAGATTCTTAAAAACTGAATCTGAAAGAATGTCAAAATGGCAAACATTGAATGTTATACAAAGCTGAAAAACAATATGCAACTTCTTTATAAACAAAACAACAACAACAGCAAAAAATACAAATGTAGGATTTTCTTCTCAGCTCTCTTATTATCAGAGTTATATTGTTGTTGCTATGCAAGTCTTCAAACTACTATGCTAAAGCTATGACCTGTTGTTGGTTTGTCCACATATATAGATTAAATGCAGATGAGAAGCTGTCAACATAACTTAACTGTCAACAGTAATTTGAAATTGTAAATGAGTCTGCCTTGCACACCCAAACAAAATTTAGGTGCAGATGTCTGTTTTTACGATTTGTGAATTGATTTAAAAAAATAAAAATAAAAAAATAAAAATAAAAGCTTTTATTTGCTATAACAGGGTGCGCTCTTCAGTCTGTATAGGGGAAACGCAGAGGTGACAGGAGCGATAACGCGCATAAATATTTGCGCGCTATCAATGTGCGAATTACGGTGTTTAATGTAGCCTATCACCATGTTTATAAAAATGTATCTTCATTTACATACTTGTTTGTTTATAAAACTATGTCATTCATTCATTTTTATTGAATCCTTAAGATTTACCATTCATTTATTTATTTATTTATTATTTACAAATTAGTAGGCTATTCTAGAAATGTATAGCCTAATACATTAATGGGAAAAATGTGAAATAGTAACAACGTTAAATGTTGTGAATGTGATGAAAGAGAGGGAGGACTAGAGTGTAGTGGGTGGACCTTGGCCAACTTCCTTTTGTTATGGTGTGTTGAACTGTAGTTTCACCAGAGCTCAACAAGCTATGCGAGCGGCACACGTGGACCGCAGAATCTCCCGGCGACTTCACTCCGAAACGCACTATTCATGAACTGAATAGTGCGTTAACTATTACTACTATAACTATTTCTTAAGGAATCTGCAAGGACAAGTTTGAGCTCGCACTAAATGAATTAATTTGAAGAGTGTTGTCACTGTTCATGTATTTTTTTTTAAGTCACTCCACCTAACTTGAATTCATTCATTATGGTGGACAAGGGTCCCCTTTTGACTTCAGCTATCATTTTCTATTTGTCCATTGGGGCAGCAATATTCCAACTCATCGAAGAACCGAACTGGGAGTTTGCAGTGAAGAAGTATAAAGCCGAAAAGGAGAAAATATTGAAACAGTTCCCATGTCTTACAAAGGCTGAACTGGACTACATTCTAGAGGTAAGAATACAAGTTTGAGTTACGTTAATTCTAACAAATGTGCAAAATTACTTGTTGTAACGTTTGTCTTTACGTTGTCTTTACGTTGGACTGCAGGAAACCGAGAGCTAAATGCTTTCCAATTGTTTTCATAAATTTAATTGTGGTTGTAGCCCTCTGTGTGAAATCTGACTGTAATGCATGAGGTAGCCTATAGTAAAGACATTTATTAAAGTGTACACATATGGGTAGTGTGCATTATGAAGTTCTATACTCTACTGTTTATTGCACCTGCTCTTAACCAATTAGATATAACGTTAATAATCTATATAGCCTATAATCTGTCGAAAAATGTGTCTCCTACAAATATTTTATCTACTTACTATATAATGTGAAAACCAAAATATTTTGCATTTAATATAACTGAGGAAGCTCTCATGGGCTTTTGAGAAACATTTGAAACATTAATGTAGGCTACTGTTTAGGGAACATAACCTTACAATTTTTGTTATGTTAATGTTTGATGGTTATGGTAATAAAATAATTTGACTAGTGACAATAAGAAAGGTTGACATTTAAAATTCAGAGTTAAAATATTTTAGGATTGGACAACATTTACAGGAGAGTAAGTAGTCTCTCGGGACATGAATTTGCTTGAATAAAAAAAAAAAAAAAAAAAAGACATGTAGAAACAAGTTGTATGTTTTCCTGCCCCATCCCCCAAAGGAACATTACATTTGAGTGGGTTGGGTGTATGTTGCCCCCAGTGGGAATAACCCTCTCCAAACTGTGGTCATATTCACTTTCAGTTCTCTTTGTCCTCTTTTGTTTCAAGGGATGAGGGACAGAGAGTAGGGTGAAAGACTTTCTGTGAGAGTAGCATTCAATCTGGTTTTGTAGGGCATTTTGGACTGTCTATAAGCTGTCTGTCAAATGACTCTAAAACACAACCAAGAATTTGTACAGCAGCAGCACCTTCTAAATGTATAACTCACAACAATGAATATTAAATAAGCCACATAGTTTGTACAAAGTATCAGACATGATTATAGGCTTTTTTGATTCCTAATTTAGCCTGTTTAATATTTTGGTTTTCATGGTAGTTGTTTGTGGTTCATAAAACTTATAATTTAAACAGCAATAAGCCTTATGTTTGAACCATTTATTGAAAGAAGTAGACAATTGGGGGACATATTGCTGCATTTGAGATGATTATAATTTGTGAATGCTGAGTTGTACTGGTTTAAAGCATTTGACATTTTTTAACATATAAAGAACCATAATGGAAACTTTTTTTTGATCAATGTGTTTATTATTTTGATTATAAAAGACGGTTAACAAAGAAACACTTTTCAGATAGTCACAGTTATTTCCCACCAAGAAAACGCATCACTCTCTTCTCCCATACAGAAACACACAAAGGTATCAGACAAGCGTCATTCTAAATACAAAACTGATATTTTAAGGTACCCAGAAACCAATTAAGTATACATTACTGTTCTTCACACATAAGTTTCATTTTCCTGCAAGACACCAAATTAATTAATAGAGAAAAAAAGAGGAACAAATAGATAAAATAACACTAATACATAGTTACACCTCAATCTTTCTGATTCCTGTTGTTTTTACGCCAAGCAAGAAGTCTACCTGGTTTTTCTCCCTGATCGTAAAGTTGTTGCTTTAATCTTAATAAATTGGCTGCTGCTTTTTCATGTGTTATTTCATTATATTGGGTTCTTAACAATAGTAATTCCTTTAAAAGATTATCAGTATTTTGGCCTGCTTGTATACTCTTTTCCTCAAGTAAACAAATTTTGTTTCAAGGGTTTTAGTTTTCTCCTTTTTCTCTTTTGTCTTCCTGCTCGTATAGCTTATAATTTGTCCTCGTATAAAGGCCTTAAAGTCTTCCCATCTAATTTTAGCTGATGTTTGGGAGGTGTTGTTGTGTATAATTTGTTCCTCTAAGAACTCAAGAAATCTTTTGTCATACATCCAGTGTATTTGAAATCTCCATTTAGTACGCTATTAGTAAACTATTAGTATTCCATTTAGTGAAGCTTTGGTTCAACATATGTCAAGGATACAAGAGCAGGATTTTGACTTTTTATGATACAGGAAATTTGTTCAGCTGATACCAGAAAGTAATCTATTCATTAGTAACCTTTAAAAGTGCTCGACCAACATGAATATTCCCCTTTTAGTGGATTTTGAGCCCTCCATATATCACCAGGTTAAGTTCCTTTACACTGTAAAAAATCCAACTTACATTTTGTTTGACAAATTCTGTTTTTACAGTTTATTAAACTATTTAACATGAAAACGTTTGTACAACTAATGACCCTAAGTTTTGAAAACTCTAAAATGTCCTGTAGCTGGTTGCCTTAAAGTTTTAAGTTTTCTCAACTTTTTTTTTGTTTTTTTTACAGTGATATTGTAAAGCTTTCCTAGACCTTACATGAGTGTTATCGATACCAGATGACCGGTCCTTACTGGTCTGCAAAACACAATTGAAATCACCTGCCACAATGTGTTTTCCAGGCATTGTGGAGATTCTCAAAAATACGTCATTATAAAAATTTACGTTATCATCGTTAGGTCCCCATACACATTAACCAGATTAATCAGAGTTGATAGAATATTTCCCTGTACAATCAGAAATCTTTAGTGGGGTCTTTAGTTACTTTATCAATGCGCAGAGGAATAGACTTATGTATCATACTTATAACTCCTCTGGAATTAGAATAGTAAGCTGAAAACAGTACCTGAACTGGTAATCTACGTTTAATTTTAATTGTCTCATGGTCTAGCATGTGTGTTTCCTGTAGGAATACAATTTTGGCTCTTAGCTGTTTTATTCTACCTACTACATGTTTTATTTTAGTATAAGTTTATGTAGGCCTCTACAATTCCAAGATACGCATTCTACCAAAACATCTGTCATTTGCTATCATATCATTGTTAACATAAAGAGAGGTAAATTACCTTGGTGTAAGTATAGCAATACAAAGCTATAAAAGTGTACCATTTGGAATAAAAGAAAAGAAAAAGAGCGACCCACCCAAAAACTCAGGCCTGCCCCATTAGAACACACAGGCTCCCCCAAACCCCTGAAAAACGTCCCTCCATTATCGGGAATAGGTATACTATACTGAGGAACTCCTGTAAACCAAAACTTAGCGCAATTGCTTGTTTATGTACAAAAATAATCCAGATAAGATATATTTAATTAACGTTATCAACTGTAAATGAAATATGTGCCATACTATACGCATTTACGTCTTCTGGTGCATTGAAGATGACGGTGTGGTCAGTGTTGGTCAGCAGGAGCCGTGCGGGGTGTATGATCCAGTATATGATCCTTACTTACTCCGTCGTACCTCCTCTGTTGCTTGTACACCTCCTTTGGCAGGTCAGGAAGAAATCTTATTTTGTTGTTTTGGTACGTCACCTCTTTCTGTATCCACGCGGCTTTCAAAATATTTTCTCTATCCTTGTGGTTTAAACACTTGATGATGATGGTTCTCGGATGCGTGGTGGAACTTTGGCTCACTGTTATCCGGTGGGCTCTCTCCAAAACCGGTGGCGTTATCTTCAGAATATCCGCTATCCATTTTTTCCATAAAGGAGCAGATGTCATTGCCTTCTAATTTCTCGGGTATGCCCAGTACACGCAAATTGTTGCGTCTGCTCCTCCCTTCTAAATCTTCGACTTTGTTAGTGAGGTTTTTTGTCTTGCTCTCAAGATTTTCGATTTTTTTTTTTTTTTTTAACCAACCACCTGCCAGGTTTATGCAATGTTAACCAATAAGCTAGGTGGTTTCTTAAGTTTGATAATTAAACTGCTATGTCATGTTTATGACAGGTTTTGTTGTCTTAGTAATGTCAAGTTGTCATGACAATTCCTTTCAACAATTGGGCGACCTCTCATTTTTATTGAAGTGTAATTTTTCGATTGAAAAAATACCATTTAAGCTTGCAAAATTTCATAAACAAGCTCTCATGGCATGGACACTCAGGCCTACAAACATAACTTTTCACAGGAGATAGGCTATTCTATTTGGAACAACAAGGACATCCTTTACAAAAATAAATCTCTTTTTTTTTTGACTACTGGTTTGAAAATAATATTATATTAGTTAGTCAGCTTTTGAATAATGATGGACATTTTTAGAGAATTTTTGAATAAATTTAAAATACCAGTTAGACCTAAAGACTTTGCAGTTGTAATGGATGCGATTCCCAGGAAAGTATTGATCCTTCTTAAAAATACATCTCAAGAAGAAGATCTAAATTTGACAGACATCATGGGTAAAATATTTTTGGGTAATACAAATATTTTACAAAATAAAGTCTCAAATAACTATGTCAGGAATATACTTAATAATATTGTTTACCCTCCAGCTCGCTTTTTCTGGTCATCTGTGTTTGGGGATGTATATTGGCGTAATGATTGGAGAAAAGTGGATAAATTCTACATTAATAAAAAAGTAAAAGAAGTCTCTTTTAAAATAATGCTTAGAATATATCCAGTAAAGCATGTACTGGAACGTTTTAAATTAGATATTGATTACTCTTGTAATTTCTGTAAAGGTGAAAAGGAAACAATTTTTCATTTATTTTTCCATTGCATACATACCAACATATTTTGGCTTGATGTGGAGAATTTAATTAAGAAAAAATTGTCCATTGACATTGGATTTGACATTATGATACACTTCAATGATCATGGGATTGAGAAATAAGGCATACTTTATACATTTGTTAATACTGATGGGGAAGTTTCACATTCATAAAATTAAATGGTCTGACTCCAAACCTAACTTTTCGTGCTTTAAAAATGATTTTAAGCTTTATTGTTCTCTTTTGTGTAACTGCACAAGTAAAAAGGCAATTAGAGCTTATAGCATTGTAAGCAGGTATGATGTATAATGTAGCACCAATTTTCTGTTTGTAATACTGTATATGTATATATATATATATATATATATTTATTTTTTTTCTTGTCCTCTGGCACTGTTCTT